GATTTACTCTGGGGCTCTGCAGTGCAGACTGCAGGGCTCCTCCTGTCCCCCAGGGATTGTTAGTGAGCAGCAGCTCTGCTTGGCTCCTTATTGTCGTGGTTAATAACACTTCTAATGATTTGTGTTTGCATCTATTTTTGTATCTCTTAACATACTTGTAAGATACTCAAGGCCGCCCTGGAAAGAACCCAAGATCAGGAGAGGGGTGTATTTAAAACAGAGGAACCCCTGGTTGCTGTAGGTATGTCATTGGTGTCCATTCAGTTTGCAGAAGTTTTTTTCTCCCTTTCCAAAGTCAGAGGCAGCCTGTGGTGTGCCCAGCCCTCAGAGCACTGTAACAGAGCAGCACCATCCCTTCCTTTTGCAGAATCCCCAATTCTCCACTGAATAACTTGTTCTCCACAAGAACATCACAAACACCAGGGCAAGCAGGGAAAGAAGAAAAGATCATTCTACAGCTGCAGGGTAAACTAAAACAACTATCTGATCTTAAGTTCCCTTTAGCCTGACAACACTTCCCTCGTTGTTTAGTGTACAGCTCAAAATGTCCATACCTGCAAAATGTTTGAGATACAGCTTATTTACACTCTGTGGAAAACAAAGGGGAAAACTCCCATCATAACAGCTCCTTGAAAGTCAGCTAGTGACCATAACCAATCCCTTCTCCTCTCTGCTAGGATATTATCCTCTTCTGACTGGGTGTTTGGTGGCCATGAGCCACACGCTGGAGTCCCTCAGGCCTGATGGATGTGGAATTCCCACACCCATCACATTCTCACATCATTCACTGACCAAAGCCCCAGCACCTGCTTCCCACAGCAGCATCCACAAGCAGGGTAGCTCAGCACAAAGCCTTGGCAGCCAGGCTGCCACTATCAACCACAAAGCCCAGCCCAAGGCTGGCCAGCACTGGGACAAGGCTGCTTCACACACAGGTTCTCTGTCCTGCTCATCAAGGAACAACAACTACACTCTTTGCCAGGCTGCAGGGAGTCAGAGGCCAGGCTCCTCTGGTTTTAAGGGCTACAAGAGTGTGCAAGGCCCAGCCACCTGCAGGATGTCCTTGTTGTCACCCGGGCCAGCACCACCTGCTCTTTCACCAGACACCCAGGAGATTGAGCTGTCTCAGCTCCCTTTGTCAAGCTGCCCTTGGCACAGCAGCACTGTGTGTCTTCAGCTTTGCATGCATCCTGCAGCACTTCTCCAGAGAGAAGTCTGGGGAGGATGTGCTCCCAGCCCTGTTGTCAGCATACTGGTGCTATACTGGTGTGCCAGGGGAGTTCCACGGTCTGAAACACTGCTTTAGGTGATGTTAGGTTTGTGATTTTATTTAAAACAATTTTTCGTCTCAACTGCAGAAAAAGAATGTTTTATATATATAAATACATAGCAGTTCTGTGAGCTGTTGTCATGCTGAGAAGCGAAATGAACATTTTAAAAGATCAGATCTGGGGAAATCTGAGTATTCTTAGCACACACAAATATCACCCCTTTTTATAAACCATAAAACCGTAAAATGAAAAACCTTATTTTCATTAAAAAAAAAATAAATTAAGTATTAAAATCAAAGGCAAAGAATCATATTTAATCCCCTTTTTATAAACCGTAACCTTATTTTCATTAAAAAAAAAAAAAAATAAAATAAAATTCAGCTCTGGGCCACATTTCCTTGCTTAGGTCCCAGCACACCTTTCCATGGATTCCTGCCTTCCCTGGCTGAAGCTCTCCAGCACAGCCCTGGGCCAGAGGCAAGGCTGCAGCTCGCGGGTGCTCAGCAGAGGATGCTCTGAGCCTCACGGGGAGCCTCAGCAGAGAAATGCTGCCACCAACTCCCTCGTTTAGAAAAGCTTGGGAGTGTCACAACTTGTTACACCCTGGTATCCTCAAAACCCTCGGGAAGCAGTCATAACTTCTGCCTGAGGCGCCCAGAGCTTCCACCAGCACTGGCAGCACAAAATTAATGATGCAGCTGAGTCTGGGAGCAGTGGCATTTTATAGCAGAGAGAGGAAGCCTTACACACTGCCAGCTAATCCTGGAGAAGTAAATGAACTAGCTCACATTTGTCACAGGCTTTGAGATATTCCTAGGAAACGCTCCATAAAAGCCAAACTTGTTATTAAGCATTTCTGACAAAATATTGTTTTAATTAATCTCCGTCTTTGATTTTCTGTTTGGGCTGCTCTCACAATGGCCCTTTGCTTGCTTTTGCTGTAGGTGATGTGGGCTCACCCACACACAATTCCCAGGACCTAGGGAGAATTATGTCACTGCAAGTTGTTGATTGTGTTCCAACTTGGATTCTGCTTTGTACAGGCTCTAATTAATCCATATTCATACCATAAGGATTTCTCATCTGGCTGTGGTTTGATCAACCAGCAGAGAAATATAGAGCCTATATCAGTTATATTGGATCTTTCCAAGAGAAAGTGCAGCTCTCCAATAGCTTTGTGTCTAGGCAATACAGAGTCTAGGCTGTCGTGAACTATTTAGATGGAAATAAATGTCAAATAAAAAAAAAGAACCCAAGAAACAAAATTAAAATGCAAAACAAAAGCCCCAAACCCCAACAAAACTGAAAAGCCTTCCCCAAAAAGCCAAATTAGTTAATATATTTCAGAAACATATCTAAACTTTGTGCTTAATGAAAAAAAAAAAGATATTTTTTGGATGAAATGCACTCAGAAGACAAGCCAAAAGATAAGCAAAGAAAATAAAGAGATAAGATAAGCAAAGAAAACCTGTCATTAAAGATGAGAGAATTTACATGGTCTATGTTTTTGTGGTTTCAAGCCCAGTTAGTAGAAAAATAAAATGATGTAACCTAGGAAGAGGATTCTGCATTTCCCTCATTTAGTTTACCCAACATTTTCGTTGTGCTAATTTGTACTTTAATCAATTAAGCTGTTGAATAAGGCATTCCTCAAGTGGTATTCAAGTGGCATAAATTAAGTAGCTCAAGGTTTCTCTTGGAATCCAAATTCCTTGCAGGAATTTTTTTGGGCAAAACTGCAGCTTCAAAATACACAGCAAGACACAGACTATCCTCTGTCTCAGGGAAAGGCCCTCTATATGTGTCACACTTACATTTTATATCAGGATTAATGCCTTTAATATTTTCCCCATTTCCTCTGCTGAATCCCATCTACAGGGACAATTATTGTGGGGTTTTCTTGTGTTTTTTTTTTTACCTAGACTGGCTCAAGTTTTATTCCCATTTCACCCACTGAATTCTGTGCTGAACAATAATCACCAGCCCTACAAAGCCACGTTTTGTCTGCTGGCAGGGAGGAACCAAGCCACATTTCCACACCAAGCTGCCACCAGCTCTCCAGGGACAGTTTTCTTTGCCTTCCGATTCCCGCGGCTCGCCTCCCTCTTCCTCCCCACCGCAGCGATTTTCGCACAATAAACGCGTGTGGGTTCAATTTACACCTTTTCTTACACATTTCCTTTTTACGGGCGCACAGGGCACGCTCTTCCACCGCTCCTGCGCTCCCTCACATGGAGTTCTCTCCCCCATTCCAGCGGGGAACGGGGCAGCGCCTCGCCCCGGCTCTGGCTGCCCAGGCGGGACCGGCGAGGGGAGCGCGGCTCCGGCGGCTGGGGAAGCGCCCGGGGGCTCGGGATAAGCCGGGATAAACCGGGATAAACCGGGCAGCGCTCCGGGCAGCGGCTGCCGGGGGGCTCGGGATAAGCCGGGATGCAGGGAAGCGCTCCGAGGGACCGGGATAAACCAGGACTCAAGGGAAGCGCTCCGAGCAGCGGCTGCCGAGGGGTTCGGGATAACCGGGATGCAGGGAAGCGCTCAGTGGACACGGGATAAACCGGGAAGCGCTCCGGGGGACCCGGGATAAACCGGGACGCAGGGAAGCGCTCCGGGGGCTCGGGATAAACCAGGACTCAAGGGAAGCGCTCCGAGCAGCGGCTGCCGAGGGGTTCGGGATAACCGGGATGCAGGGAAGCGCTCAGTGGACACGGGATAAACCGGGAAGCGCTCCGGGGGACCCGGGATAAACCGGGACCCACGCGCCGGCGGCGGGAGCGCGCTCGGCGGCGGGAGCTGCCATCCCGCCGGGACACGGCCATGGAGCCCTCGCCCAAGGACGGCGAGAGCGCGGCGGCCGCCGAGCCCAGCCGGGGCGGCTCGGGCCCGTCCAGCGGCGTGGTGGTGCAGGTCCGCGAGAAGAAGGGACCGCTGCGCGCCGCCATCCCCTACATGCCCTTCCCCGTGGCCGTCATCTGCCTCTTCCTCAACACCTTCGTGCCGGGGCTGGGTAAGGATGCTGCGGGAGGCAGCGAGGGAAGGCGGCCGGGCTCGGGGTCCCTCTGCCCGCCCACCCCGGGCTGCCGGACCCCGCCCCGGCGGCAACTTTGCCTTTCCCCGACGGCTCCCGGGGAGGGATGGATGGAGGGAGGGATGGAGGAGCTCCTAAGCCAAGTTTCGCGTCGGGGGCCGGGGCAGCGCCTTGCGAGGTCTGCAGGGATCGCACCGCGGGTCGCGGTCCCCTCGGCGGGCACGGGCGGTCCCCGGCCCCGGGACACGGCAGGCACATCCCGAGCCTCCGGCCCCGCCGGGAGGGAGGGATTCCGCTGTTCGGGCTCTCGGCGACTGTGATTGCAGTGAGAGGATCAAACTCACGGTGCCCACATCGCTCGCTCGCTAGAGACGAGCTTTCAGAGCCCACCGTGCCGGGTTTCCTAAGGAGACCCTGGAAAATGTTAGAACCGTTGTCCAAAGAAACTAGGGATTCAGTTTCTCAGCGCAAAGTCTCTAGCGTACTCAGGTCCCTACGATGTGGCTGCATCCTTTCTATATTTCCATTTCCTCCACTCGAATTAAGAATGGCTTACTGCGAGAGGAGCTTAGAGTTTGAACACTGCAAAAGCCCCTGGAATACAAGGCTAAATATAAACATTCGAGCTGAAAATGAAATAACTACATTAATAAAAAAAAAACCAAAAACCCAAACAAAATAATCCATGACTCATTAACCCATACCTCAAATCTCTCATAATCCATTTCTGGCTGCTGGTTCTGCTACTGTGGCCACCACAGAAGCCTTCCTTGTGATATGGGAGTATCCTCCCCCTAGCCCAGCTTTTAAAGAGCTACTGCCTGCCTCTAATTGCTTCATGTGCTTCAGGTGGCTTAATTCTGTAACAAATCTGAAATACTTAAAGTTCTGATTAAAGTACTATGCATGTGTGGGTGGGATAGTGTGTGCAACACGTAGAAGCCATTGCTACTCCAGCGTGCTTGCTCTGAACCTGTGGATGTGTTCCAGAGGAAAACTTGCCCCTTTTGCAATACCTCTGAGTTTTCCTGTGGAAGGACTGGTGTGTGTGAGCTTCCAGATGGAATCCACTGTGCTTGGGTGTGTTGTTTGCACAGCCCTTGTGTGCAGCCACCTGAAGAACCTCGGGTGATCAAAGACAAACTCTGGAGTTGAGTTCTCTCATGGGGCTTTAGGTTTCCTGGGGCTTAGTTTCCCACTTTAGAGAGAGTTTGCAAAGCAAGTGTTGTTTTCTGTTGGCATTGAAGACACCACATCTTCAATGTGGACATACAGGAAAAAAAGCCTGACTTACCACCCCTTTTTCCCTATCCAAATTATCTCACACTTCACAAAGCACAATAGAAAACCCTCCGTGTTGTCCTCTCATCCCAGAAGGACAGATCCCCATGAGACACCCTTATGTTGAAATTGGCCTGAAGTGTGTTTCTCTGCTGGAGCTCTCCTCTGGCTGCTGCTGGGGGTAGCCAGTGTTGTGCCTTCCCTCATACAGAAGGTGCCTGGGGAGGAAGGACAGACTGCCCTCCCTTCCTGAAGGCGACTGTCCAGGGCTCACACTCCACGCTGGTTGAAAGGCTGGGAGTTGAATCTGGACTATGCAGCTGTGCTGGTTGCCAACCACTGGCAGGCTGGACCAGCACAAAATGGTTTTTAATTTTATTTTCAATTCTATTTGGTTTTTTTTAATTTGTTTGCCCTTTGATGCAGGGATTTCAGCGGTACGGTCTGGCCGGCTGCGCCGCTGCTTCTCCTGGTGCCCTGCTGCAGAAGTAGCAAACCAAACAAACTACAGATGAAAAGGGATTCTTCCCTGTGGCATCCCCACAGCCTGGCAAAATGCAGTGCTTTGGAGATGCATCCCAAGCTCAGTATGCAAAGCATGGCATTTAGTGTGTACATAAATGAACCGTTCTGTTAATGAAGCTGCTAATATCACGTGCAGTTTGAGAGAAAACTTAGTCTGAGATGACACACCTGACTAGAATGCAGCTATTTACAATCTCAGCCATATCCTGTCATGTATCACACAGCCCACACAGGAGGGGAAACAGGAGGATCACGAATCTACTGGCAGGAATGTTCAAGGTAAAAAGAGATTTTCTGTCATTGTTGTGCTTCAGCCATCTCAATGAGCTGAGCAAGGCTTGTAAAACAGATAAGATTTACAGTGGTGTGAAGTGTTCACATCAAGGATGTGAGCCTGTTCCCTGCGAAGCAGAGTGGCAAAATTCCCATCAGTTCTTGTAGTCCAGATTTATAACACGTTAAAGTGATGTTTCACAGGCTCGCTGTGTATTTCTGCCTGCTTAGCTGGAGAGTGTGACTGTGTTTAGGTGTTAATGGAAGTCCTCTAGTTCTCAGCCCCTAAATTCATCCCTCATCTGTTCTGCATGTAGTTGTCATTTGAGTGTAGACTCTGCAATTGCACAGAAGGGTCAGAGACCACCAGAGCAGACAAGAAAATGGGCAACGTTGAATGAATCAAGATTTCCACTGCTTGGAGACTGGTGCATTTGAGGTTTTCATTAGTGCTCTGTGCCTCAGAACAGTGACATCCAAATAGAAATTCCACTCTGATGCAGGCTTCCAAATCATTGGGCAATCTCTCACCATCTGAAAGCCTCTTTTTTTTTTAGCTAAATTATCTTTCCTCTGTTATGGAAGTCACCTTTGAGGGTGACGTCTGAAAATTTTAAATATCTGGTTTATTTTTCCTTTGTGCTATTTATTTTTTGCAGTAGTACTCTATTTGGACAGTAGAAGTAACACTTTTTCTTTGTTTACAGTCAGTTTATTATCTTCACTTGGTTAATTTTCAGAGTTTTATGAATAACCCAGAGCTGCAGGTTTTAAGGTGCATTGTAAACTGCGTTTTAACTACTCATTCCACACATGCTACAAAAGATGTAGTTCACAGGAATTTTTTCATATACAGGGGATATGTTGACTTTTCTCTTGCCAAAACTTAAAATTCAGACCAAATACAGTGTAAAAAATCTTGATAGCCCATCTACTTGCAATCCATCTTGCCGAATAGCCTTGAAATCACACATTCCTTCCAGTCACTGGCATGGGCCACTTGGAAATGTTGTGGATCAGTTTCCTATTGTATTTGCAGGGAAGCTCTCCAATGAAGGCAGGAATGATGCATCTGACTCCATGTTCTCAGAAGGGCAATTTATTACTTTATGATACTATATTATATTAAAGAATACTTTACTGAAGAATACATAAGAGATACTTACTGAATGCTAAAAAGATAATCATGAAACTCATGACTCTTTCCAGAGTGTCAGCACAACTTGGCCCCAACTGGCCAAGAGTCAAAACAACTCACAGCAGAATCCAGTGAAACAATCACCTGTGGGTAAACAATCTCCAAACACATTCCACATGTGAGCACAACACAGGGGAAGCAAATGAGATAATAATTGTTTTCCTTTTCTCTGAGGCTTCTCAGCTTCCCAGGAGAAAAATCCTGGGGGATTTTTTCAGAGAATGTGAATGCCACAGGAAATGTTCTGGATCAGTTTCCCGTGGCCCAGTGCAGTCTTTCTCATCCGTGCCTATCAGGGCTATAGGGCTGAGCTGCAATGAAGGTGTGCCAAGCTCAGGCTCATAAAAAGAGTGGGTAGGAAGAAGAGGCAGAAGAGTCAGCGGGTGCTGTGGCAAAAGCCATCGTGCCTTGGCTACCAACGCGCCAGCCCTGCCACAGGCATTGCCACCTCTGCTCTGGCTTTGGGTTTCTGGAGCAGCTCTGAGGCACTGGGGCCAAACCATGCAGTGATGAGCTCTGGAGAGTGGGAGATGCAGCTGTCAGCGTGGCTGGAGGGTGCCCAGCACTGCCATTCTCGCAGGATCAGGAGCTGTGTCCCTGCTGCCCGTCCGCGCCGCAGATGGCACACGGGCGAAGGGCTGGCCGTGCCCTTTAGCTGGCAGACTGTGTTCTCCTGGAGCTGCTGCCGTGTGCCAGTCAGCGTGGGAGGAGATCTGGCTCCTTCTCGTTCCCGGAGCCGATCCATGGGAATCTTGCCCTCCTTCCTCTCTGCTCTTCCTTCTCTCGACATCACGTGTGTGGGAGGGGGGTAAACGAAGCGGGGGAACTTGAGGGAAATGTGAGAAGTGAGGGAAATTATCTGAAAGTCTGAGGTATTCTCCAAGATTAATCCCTCCTGTCAGGAAGGGGGTGGACTTTTGGATCCCAGCCTGCGTGATACGTGAATACTATTTTTATGCAGGGAGTAATTGAAATACGGAGCATAAAGTGATGTTGGTGCAGGATGGGAGAGCAGCCACCCATGTGCCACCAAGTAGCCCGTGGAGGAGTTCAGGAGTGCCAGCCTCTCAGAGCAGCTACAGAAAGAAGGGGTGATTCCCAGCCCACTCAGCTTTTTGCTTCCAGGGCTCCTCAGTGCAGCTCTCCTGTTCCTGGGTGTGTCAGCTCCGTATCACGAGTCTTCTGCCATCTGTTTAGTCACTCCTGATAGAGTTCAAGCACTGCACCTTCAGCTCTGGGAATGTGGCTTTGCCCTTGGGTTCATAGCAGCCAAGCATCTTCTCATTAGAAACCAAGGCTCTCCTGAGCAGAATGAGCTCTCCAAAGAGCTGAACACAGGCACAGAACACAACACTCGAGAAAGTAGATGGGATAAGGTCTGCATAAAATTACCAGTACTCATTTTATTTTTGTGGTTGGAATGGTAAATAGATGCCTCAAGCAAACATCCATTGCCTTCATTATTGAAAGAAAGAATTTCACGGAAAAAACACATTTTCGTATCTATGGTAGAGCAAACAGTGTAATAAAGAAATTTGGGCTTTCAGACATATCAAATCTCAAAATCCTTTGGTATTTGTGATCCTTTAATTTTTTTTTCCTTTTAAACATACAAACCAATGAATCTGTGTGATTTACAAGCTCATTTGTGGAAAACAAAGGTTTTCTCGAGTGTTTGTGTGAATTTGTGTTTGTGAACTTTACTGCTGCAGTTTTTTAGCTAACATTGCCCTTCAGCCTGTGATGCTGGTAGTGTGCAGAAACAAGCTGCTTGTTCATGGGAGCATAATTAAACACAGCAAACCTATTGCCAGCAGACTCCACTCTATCAGGTTCTGTATTTTGCACTGAAAAGGTCAAGAAGTTCTTTATGGTGATTTGTGCTTGTGCAAGGTGGGAAATGAGACCTGCAATAAAATGTGTGCATCCAGGTTTTACTGCTCCATTACTGGTACCAGTGGTATCAGCTGTAGATTATCCTCACAGTGAGGTAAAGTTGGGCACAAGAGCAGCTGAATCTGAGGTTTCTGCCACCTGCAGGTCTTTGTTATTTTCAGTACGTAGAAGGCCATTAAATTCCTCTTTTACTTTATTTTACTTTATTTTTGTAACAGAGATTTAAGAGAAATATAATTGTATCATATAACTTGGCAGATGGTATTGACAGTCATTCCACAATCTTACCACCACTGGGTAGTCTGGAATATTTTTGTTCCATGAAGTGTCTGCACCACCTAGAATGACAATCAATCCTGGAAAACTCAAAGAGGTTCACAGGTAATTAGTGAGCTGAAGAAATGCCAAAGTGTTTCAACCTTGTAGCTGCTTGATTGAGACAGCTCCACCTGGTGTAACTGATCAGAAAAAAAAAGGGGAAAAAAAGGTATTTTAACTGCTGAGGGATCTGATGTGGCCCCTCAGTTTAATCCAGTGTTGAACAGCACACTTTGCTGTATTTTAGGCAGAAAGCTGCTTTCTGCTT